TTCCCTTATCTGGGCAGATCTGATCACATCCAAACCCCCCAGCAGAGCATCGTCAACCGATGTCAGCTGCAGATTTGCTACACACCCAATTGTAGTGCAGCCCCTCTGTGGAAGAAACCCACTGTTGTGAACAAGAAGAAGAATCTAGCGGAATGCTAGGGGCAAGACCCCGCAACTTCTTGTTTATCCACCAACCACCCAGGGGAGGGATAAAAAATGAGAGATTGAAGAATAAAGAGATGTGCGCTAAGAGAAAAAGTGAGAAAATGGCTTTTTTTCAGAAAAACAGAGATTGAGTGCCAGAGTGATGTGAGAATCACAAATGAGAAAAGAGTGGGAAACACTACCCGGAGAAACTGGCTCCTCGCGAACTGAGAGGTCTCTTGCCTTTGTAACACGTCTGTGTGTCGTTTCTTTTGTTTTGTTTACCTCAACTTTTGTTTTAAGTCTTCTTTGAGTGTTACTCGATGTGTTTAGGCCGTGTACCTTTTGTTGAGTCATAGTATGCTGTGTTCAGTTGTAGGCTTAATACCCGGTTGAGAACCCTTTTCTCATTTTCAAAAGATCGTTTTGTGCTCAAAGTGCTGTGCCATTCCGCACATTTATGCAAAATAAGATTCTTTCTTTCATAAACCACAAGGTTCAACCCATGTCATGTGAGAACAGTAAAACAAGGACCTATTTGAAGCTATATGGGTTCCAGACTACAAAGCAAAAGAAAAGAGGGAAAACCGAAGCATTTGAGTGTGTTTCACCTTCAGCAAATTCTGTGATTGTACTCCGGATGTACCTCTTCAGGCCTTGTCAGTGCTCCGAAGAATAAGTGTGCCTCTATTCCAAGCTTAAGCCTGTTTCAAGTCAGAATGGCAATTAAAGCAGCAGCAAATGTTATCTCTCACCAATATAAACAGGGTGTACCCTTTTCAAGCGGAGTGTGTTACAACCCCCCCCCCCCGGTAAATCGGAGGTCGCGTTTGGATTTGGTCTCGTTAAGGCTTGTATTTCCTTATTCGGCATGTTGTTTCAAACGCGCTTTTGAAGTTGCACATTCGTCGCATTGTTATGCACATCTATCTAGCATTGTTATGCACCGTTACACCTGCATTGTTATGCACATTATATTTGCATTGTCATGCACCTCTTCACTTGCGTAGTCACGCACATTCTACTTGCATTGTTATGTACAGTTCAATCGCATTGTTATGCACACTCTTTAGTTCCGAAACACCGGGGTATGTCCCTACATTTTTCTCTGTTCTTGAAACACCGGGATACGTCCCTACGTTTCTCTCTTTCGAAACATCGGGATACGTCTCTATGTTTCTTCTCCTTCTTTTCGAAACCCCGGGATACGTCCCTACGTTTCGCTCTCTTTCCGAAACCCCGGGATACGTCCCTAAGTTTCTTCTTCATTCTGAAACACCGGGATACGTCCCTATGTTTCTCCTTCCTTCCGAAACACCGGGATACGTCCCTATGTTTCTTCCCTTTTTTGAAATACTGGGATACGTCCCTATGATTCTCCTTCTTTTCCGAAACACTGGGATACGTCCCTATGTTTCTCATTCCTTTCTGAAACACCGGGATACGTCCCTACGTTTCTTCTCCTTTTTTCCGAAACACCGGGATACGTCCCTATTTTTCTTCTCCTTTTTCATAACACTGGGATACGTCCCTATGTTTTTCATTCCTTTCTGAAAACACCAGGATATGTCCCTATGTTTCTCCTTCATTCCGAAACACCGGGATACGTCCCTATGTTTCTCATTCCTTTTCGAAACACCGGGATACGTCCTTATGTTTCTTCTCCTTGTTCTGAAATACCGGGATATGTCCCTATGTTTCTCCTTCATTCCAAAACACTAGGATACATCCCTATGTTTCTCATTCCTTTCTGAAACACCGGGATACGTCCCTATGTTTCTCTTTCCTTCCGAAACACCGGGATACGTCCCTATGTTTCTCATTCCTTTTCGAAACACCGGGATACGTCCCTATGTTTCTCACTCAATCCGAAACAGCGGGATATGTCCTAATGTTTCTCCTTCTTTGGTTACGAGCATTTGGAATACGTTCCAATGCTTATACCTTTTCGAAACACCGGGATATGTCCCTATGTTTCTCCCTCTTTGGTTAAAAGCATTTGGAATACGTTCCAATGCTTGAACCACTCCGAAACACCGGGATACGTCCCTATGTTTCTCATTCCTTTTCGAAACACTGGGATATGTTCCTATGTTTCTCTCTTTGTTCCTTACACAATTTCGGCGTGTTTGGAATTTGACTTAGGTTGCATTGTATGCACTCCTAATTGTTTGTTTTGGACCTCCTCTCATGATTCCGGCATGGTTGGAGTTTGTCACCCTTTGCATCTGTACTATCATAGCATTTCATTCACGCTATCTTGCGCACCTCACCTGTACTTGTTAGTACATTGCATTGTTTTGAATACAAATCGGCTTCGCATAGCGTATAAGTCCAATTATCAAAGTCTTCTTTCATATCATTTGCATCCTGCCCCTGAACTACGCTGGTTTGATTCCTTACAAAGGGATACGTAGGCAGCCTGTGGGCACAACCATTTATTTATCGGTATTTTGTTTGTTTGTCCAAGTCTTTGGCCTTATTAAAAATGGTTCGTCTCTGGGCTTTGACATTCATTCACGTCACTTCTTGACTTCCGAGTTCTGTCAAAGAGGGGCAACTGTAGACACCCCATTTTTGACCGCCCTTAAGACTTGGGCGTTACTGATGGTTTACTTGGTGGTAAAAGATGTGCAGGGTAAAGGTTCAAATTCGTCAGCAATGAGAGAGTCAAATCCCAACTTCAGACCCCTTTTGGACCAAAACAATCTTGATCAAAAGATTTTAGATCTTAAAATCCTCTCTTTCAAAATGTTTTGAAAATAAAATTCCTACGATGTTCCGACGCTCACATTTCGGTAAATGTTGCGCTTTTCGGTAAACCGAGCAAGGACAAGTTGGAGATGAATGAAAGAGAGATGAAATATTTGAAAAATCTTTCAAAACACTTTGTTTAGGGGTTTGGAGTTGAAGAGAAGAGGAAATGAGAGGAGAAAACTAGTTTGGGAGAAGTTCGGCATGAATCCGGGTAAGAGAGAGTTGAGCAGCCCTTGCTGAATTGGGCTTATTCATTTGCATACTTGGATTTTAGCTATGAGGCCACCACCATTGGAAAGCTTATTTTCGGGGCTTCATTTTTCACTCAAGAATCTCCTAGAGCCAAGTCCGGGTGGGGGAGATATGATTGGTTGAAGTTGGGTACCATCCCGGTTGGATCGAATCTGCGCGGCTTCACCAAAATGGGCATAACTTTTTTCACAGGAGGAATTTTAATGCAAGGTTTATGCCATTGGAAAGCTAACCTCCGGGGCTTCAATCTGGACACCCACCGGCCACTTTTTGGCCTTGGTAGACACCACCGGCCATCAATTTATCCGACCGGCCAAATAGACGGCCGACCGACCATTTAAATACAGTGCCGACCGGCCAGTAATCTGAGGCCAACAGGTTAAAAAGCGGCCGGTGATCATCCTGTTAGGCCGGTGGTGTTTCTACTTGGTCGGTGGTATTCCCTAACATACAGAGAGCATACTCTTGAACTTTAGCACTCCCCAGAGGAGTAGGGCAGTGTTAATAGAGGCAACAGTGCTATGGCAACGAGTTTCCAGGCGAGATGGGTCAAGCATGCATCATTCACGCATTTCGAGGCAGGGCTGTGGCCCCCATCCTTTTGCATTTAATTTGTTAATTAATTAGAAGTTCTATAATAATTAATTTAGTATTATTTATTCGGACTGTAATATTTATTTGAACCCTCCGAGTGAGGGCAATTGTGTAATAAGTGTGCGTGAGTGTGTGTATGTCTCCCAACCCCACGTCTTTCTTTCCTTTTATTTACTAGCTTTCGATGGTTAGCCTAGGGCATATTTCAATTAGCATACAGTATGATAGCATGCTTGCATCATTCATTAGTCTTGCATGCACCAGACTCGGTACATCATACTAACTGAATAACTATTTCAAATCTAACTTGAATACATGCTACTTGTGCATTTTCACATATCATCTATAGACTAGCCGAGCCTACTCTAGTGATATTTTGTATGCGTTGCATTAGCCACTTAACATGGACTTGGATCATGCATTGATTGCTAACATATTTTTGTTTTGGCTCGGAGTACTAGGTAAGCATTTATGCTTTAACATACCGCATGCGTGTGAGTGTTGCCATAATAGCATGATTACCATGAGGCTAGATGCTTATGTGATATAAACTGTTTGAATGCCTGTGGGTGAAGGTTAGATTGTTTGAGTTGGAACAACTCGTTAAAATCCGTGCTTTAGCCTACTTGCGAGTAGCAAATTTCAAACTGTTTTTCAAACAAACGGATATGCAATGCTTCGTTCCAATTCAGGCGATTTGGTCTATACTTGTTTGTTGTGCGCATAACGTAGTAATTCTAGGCTAATAACCGGAATAAGAACACATAACGTTTTCAAAATCGGATATCACGGTTAGTAGAGGCCGATCTTCGGATCGGGCGAGAGGGGGTGCTCATAGCTGACCTTCCCCAATCGTACCCAAGCTCCCGAGCCGAGGCAACTTTGGTGATGACGGACACGTGGCCTTTGGCACCGAGTCAGGGTTTCCTAAATTCCCCCATAAAAAAAAAATATTTAGGTGGCGACTCTGTATCTGGCAAAGCAGTCCATGTTTGGCACTTCTTTTCAAAAATCTGTTTCTCAAAACGATTTGCCGGATTTGGACTCTTTGGTTCAGATTAAGAACCGTGACAATTTGAGAGTCCTGAACTGTAGTGAGCCCAAAAAAATGAACAGAACGGGACTCATCCTCCCGGGGCGTTCGGGGACATCTACAGTTTCTGGCGACTCCGCTGGGGATTTTAGAGAGCTTGACTCGAACTCATGATATCCTATTTTAATTTCATTTATGTGTCTCTTTGTTGATAATACAGCAAAGAGGCAAGGAAGAACTTGTTGGAAAAGAGGCCGGGAATTAATGACTCTACCCTTAATGCCCTCATTTCAGTGAAATGGAAGGTGTGAAATTTAACTGTCTGTTTGGGTAATTCTTTTTTTGAAAATGTAAAATGAAGTATTGAAAATTTTGGTTTTATACTTGTAGGAATTGAGTGAAGAAGATAAGCAAACCTGGAATGAAAAAGCTACAAGAGCCAAGGAGTCAAGATGGAATTGGAAGAGTATAACAAATCTGCAGTAATGGAGGAGGAAAACAACAACAACCCACAACAGTAAAAAGCAAGCTTGAATATTGTTATGAACTAACAATATGAACTAAAACAAAAAATCTATACTTTGTTATGAACTAACAATATGCCCTCATTTCATTTTTTTTTCCTTCTTGTAGTTTATACTTTGTTTTGAACTAAAACAGAAAATCTCACGAGAATTTCTGTATTTACAAGTGTTTGGGGCTTATTGTCTGGCCTGCATTAACTGGTATAGGAACATTATTTGCTTCATTTACATTTCTTTTGAGAAGTTTTTTCATCATGTTTAAATTTTACACAATCTTGTATTAAACATTCTGGATTGCAGTTTTCTACTTAAGTACATTGTGATTGTGGTTTCAACTCCTAGTTGCATATATATTTTTATTTCTTGACTTTAAGGAATTAAATATTGCTAAAAAAGATATATGGAAATCCTAAATCTATGAATATTTTACGAAATATGATAGCATGGAAGAATTTACAGAAATTAATAAAAGTAATATGATGGATGGATAATGTTGGTACATAGATATGTTGAAGTTAGGAATATGTTGATGGCTGTATCACAAAAATTGCGTAATTTTGACTGTTGTTTGAATTTTCAGAGCAATTGTACAGTTAGTGTTGAATCTCCCAATCATCATTCATTTTCACTTGGATTTTGAATTAAAAACTTCATTTGATATGAACTCTAATGGCAAAAATTAATTTTCTTTTTAAAACTTCATTTGATATGAACTTCAGCTATTTTTATGATAATTTTTTAAATTTTTATAAATTTAAATTAAAAATTAAAAACGTAAATATTATCAAACGCTGCCGTGGTGATTGTGAATTTACCGTAGAAATAGTGACTCCACAAAACCTTCCTAGATTTTTTTTTATTGTTTTAGTAAAATCTTCCTTTCCTTTTCAATTGGGACATAAAATTCAACTTTTAAGTTCATTCACCAATTGAATTGGATTACACGTGGAATCACCACCACTTCAAACTTTCCGTAGAGAAAGTACACATTTTTAAACTTCTATGTTGGCATGACATTTTTATATAATATTAGATTACCTATAGAGCTAACGAAATGACATAATGGTAGGCAAAACAGTGGCATCACTGCAGCCTTTTGGCTAAACAATTTCTAATTTCTTCCGCACAGGATATCATTGGATGATGAAAAGTGTATTAATTAAATGAATGAAAACCATTTAATCATCAAACTATTTTTTTTTATTTAAAAAAAAAAAAAAAGTGAAGTGGCTTGTCTGGATGAAACATTTCGTGTACCAATCATAATATTTGAATTCGAATTTACTACCATTACTGAACACCTCTTGTTACGGCACTCTTCACTGCTTTTATTGTTGCAACCCCTTCCTCCTTCCTAATCCAGTCGTTGGCCTTGTTTGGCAATATTATTTTTTAATTTAAAAGTTAAAAAATTATTAAAAAAATTTTAAAAAACCAATAATTTATACAAAAAAATTAAAAATTCTCTTTTTTTCTCTATTTTTTACACATATTTTCATAAAAAGTTAAAAAGTCATTACAAACTTACTAGTTTTTTTAAAATCATATTTTAGTCAAAAAGTCAAAGAGTTACTAAAAAAACTTATTTCCAAACGAGGTCTATGAGCTTAAATGTCTTTTTAAAATTTTTATAATTTTATTTTAAATCAAAAATTAGTTTTAGTACGTCACATCTAATAATTTAGATGTAAAAGGTCATTTTTTACATCTTCAAAATTAAAATTTTATAAGTTTGACTTTTAGTAGAACAATTTTTTTCATTAATTTGTAAATATTTTTCCTAAATTTTACTGAAATTATATTTTTCCTTTACTTTGGTAATCATTATATGGGGTTTATTGTTCCAAAATAAACTTCCGAGGACACTACTTTTTGGCCTAACCTCGTGGTAAACTACAATTTATCCACAATTAGTACGACAATTTTCTGTAGATATTGATAACCATTGTGAATCATGTGCTAGTTGTAGAGGTTTTAATGTTGCTATAAGAAGCATTAGGTGAATGTTAGAAATTTTATTTCCAGTGTAACCCAAAAAAAAAATGAATGTTAGAAATTCATTTCCAATTGGAGGTTTTCTTGAATTTATTATCAATGGTCAAGATTCAGTTAAGATGGACCCCACAACATCAACACCAAATATCCATCATATTTTCTTGAAATTCTTGAGATTTTTTTTTTTTTAATACTATAAGTCGGATGACCTCTTGGTCAACCAATTGTTTGATAAAAATTAAAAAATTAGCATTGGACACATAGTATCTTATGAAACTTTTCACTAATTTTTTATTCAAATTTAATATTAAATTTTTTTTGAGTAAGCATTAGAGATACTCTAACAGCGGTCTAATTGCCTAGTACATGATCTAGGTGCCCATTATAAAAATTATTCAAATTATTAGGATAATTATTCAAATTATGAAAATTATTCAAATATTATTCAAATTATTCATATTGTAAATAGTTCAAATTATTCAAATATTATTCAAGTATTATTCAAATTATTTATATTGTAAATAATTCAAATTATTCATATTATAAATAATTCAAATTATTCAAATAATTAAAATTATGGACATAAGCATATTAGCATATTATTATAGGGAGCAGGGTCATTGCTGTGCCCCCTCCCTGCTGCGTTGCTGCTGTGCCGTAAAACGGCACAGTTTCATATATTTTTTTTTTCCTTAAAATTTATATTTTTTATTTTAGGGTTTAGGATTTAATTTTTAAAATTTAATTTTTTTTATTTTTGGATTTAGGTATAAAATTTATTTTTTTTATTTTAGGGTTTAGGGTTTAATTCTATTTTTTTTTAATTTTTAATTTTAGGATTTGGGAGTTAGGGTTTAATTTTTAAAATTTATTTTTTTAGCTATTTTAGGGTTTAGGGTTTAATTCTTAAATTTTAAATACACTTATAAGTGTCAAAGTGTTTAATTAAAAACACTTATAAATATTAAGAACCTAAAAATTAATTTAATGAAAAGACAAAAAAATATCAATTTTTTTTTTTCAAAAACACACGCACACAAAATTATGAGCACTGATTTTTTTTTTTTTTTTCCAAAAACACAAATGAAACTTTTAAATGAAGAAAAAAAATACCTAATAGTGTTCTCAATCAATAAACGAAAAAATATTCACTAAAAATATTCTCAATCATCTCCCTCCCTGTCCCCTGTCTATCCATATATATTCATTACTTTCAGTTCAGCCATTCCACACACCCTCTCTCTCTCTCTCACAGATTTTGCAGCCATTCACAGTCTTTATCCCTATCTCTCTCTCTCTCTCTCTCTCTCTCTCTGTGTGTCTCAAAATGGCCGAGTCACAGAAAAAGGTTTTTGCTGCCTTTTGGTACTCCATCATAGGCCGTCTCCTCTGTACCAACAGCAGAAAGGAAGATTAGAAGGAGGAAAAAAGTGGAGTTCAGATTTTTGATCTCCAGCATTTTGATCTTTACAGTCCTCATCAACCAATGTCCGCGTCTTTGGCGTTCACTTCCATTACATTGACAAAGAGAGTATCACATTCAGAAGTGTAGGGGAAACAAGTTCTTCCTCAAAAAATTACTTAAGAACGATAAGAATATAATAGTTTGAGGTTAGCCGCATTCCATGGCCGGGGTACGCCTTTGCCGTCCAAATCTTCTAAGTGGTATGCCCCCTTACCAGCCAGACCGGTTATTTTATAAGGCCTTTTTGTCTGTTCCCACCGAGGTTGTCTTCGCGGTGGACGCCGCTCCATCATCCTCTACTCGGATGTGCTCACTGATGCGCTGCATCAGTTGTCCCATGGATGGTGGCTAGTTCATTGTAAGCGAGTCCCTCAGCCTATGTCTGACCGGGAGATCGTGCTTGTATTGGATGATTGCCAGGTTGACCCGGCAATCCAAGATCTCATTGAAGGTTTCCCAATATCTAGAGTTGTATGCCTTCAGTGTGTCGCTTGGCTCCATCTTGACACTGAGAAGGTGGTCAACTTCCTTTGGCGTTTTGGTGTTGGTTTTGAAGCGCGTCACAAAGGCTTCGGCTAACTGCTGTCACCTTTCTATGCTCCCTTCCAGCAGCCTCTCAAACCATTTCAAGCCCAGCTCGCCCAAACTTGACGGGAAGATAAGGCACATAAGAGCGTCATTCCGCCTATGTCCGGCCATGACCTGTCGGTAGTGGCTTACATGCATATAGGGATCGGTTTTTCCGTCGTAGAGCATGAACTTAGGCTGGTGGAAGCCCGCGGGAAGCGGTGTTGTTTCTATCTCCACGGAGAAAGGGGTGGCGCTCAGCCTTGCCAAGTTTATGTCTAGAAAGAGAGGCGCAGCTAGACGAGGTGGAGGCATTCCGACCTCTTCACTGGCGTGAACCCCATAGGATAGCCGCTGGAACACCGGCACCCTCTGAGCCTCCCGCCGGCGAGCCCGTTCCTTCAAGACTACCCGCAAATCCTCTGAACGAGCGGAATAAGAATACCTCGACGTCGTCGCCGGACGTGAGGGTTAATAGGTGCTGTCTTGCGTGCTGGATTTCACTACGTGCACGTCGGAATCACCACCCTTGTAACTTCTGGTGATTGAGATGGACGGAGTACGCCGCTGGCTCTGACTGAATGGCGGGGTTGGGTGCGCTCACTGTGGTCTCCCACTCCAGCTACACCCTTATCCTTTGACATGTCACTTAAGATCTCCATCTCCGCCGCCATTCTCCTGATGACGGCGTCTTGGTCCCTTAGCTTGTGTTCCAGTCGCCTGGCGTTCTCTCCGCCGCCGATGACCGTCTGGACTTCGTGAATGACCATAACTTCTTCCGCGCTTATCCCGCGCGTCTCCTGACTGTCCTCCAGTGGGCGTCCCCAAGTCAGCCATTGGATGGATGGCAGGTGGTCCCTCTCTCCTTCGGGTATACTCCGGGGTGGCTCCGTCGATGGCAGACAACGGAATCTCATTGTTGTTCGCCATG